CAACCTCCACCTCCTGGGTTCAAGCAATTCTCCTGCCTCAGCCTCCTGAGTAGATGGGATTACAGGTGCCTCCCGCCATGCCTGACTAATTTTTGTATTTTTGTAGAGACAGGGTTTCACCATGTTGGCCAGGCTGGTCTTGAACTCCTGACTTCAGGGGATCTGCCTGTCTTGGCCTCCCAAAGTGCTGAGATTGTATGAGCCACCGCACCTGGCCAAACAGGCAAAAATTTTTTTTTTTTTTTTTTGAGATGAAGTCTCGCTCTTGTCTCCCAGGCTGGAGTGCGATGGTGCGGTCTCAGCTCACTGCAACCTCTGCCTCCTGGGTTCAAGCGAGTCTTCTACTTTGGCCCGCCGAGTACCTGGGATTACACGTGCCTGCCACCATGCCTGGCTAATCTTTATATTTTTATTAGAGACAGGGTTTCGCCATATTGGCCAGGCTGGTCTAGAACTCCTGACCTCAGGTGATCCACCTGCCTGGGCCTCCGGAAGTGCTGGGATTACAGGTGTGAGCCACTGCGCCCGGCCAAACAGGCAAACTTTTGTAGTACGTTAGGTGGTGGTAAGTTCTGAGTGGAAAATAAATTGCGCAAGGGGAGCGGGGAAGAAGTGTGTCAACAAGTTTAGAGAATGTGGCCAGGAAAGGCCTCACTGAAAGGGTCACATCTGAGTACAGACCTGAAAGTTAATTTAGTGGCAGTTGTGAAAATGGAGAGAGAGGAAATGATCCCCAGGCTGAGTTGGCCTTGTTGGGAGCATGCTAAGACTCACTACAGGTCCAGGGCTGTTATAATCATTTGACTCCCCTAAGGCAATAAGAAGAGCAGGGCAGGGCCTTCAGGGGCCTTACCGGTGACCTTGCGCCGTCCACTTCAGCTGCCTTCTTTCTTATCCTTGACTCCTGGCCTTGCCCTCACTTTTGCCACTCACTTCTGGTCTTTCTTCCCTGTAGTCCTAAGATTTTCCAAAAGACCAAGTGCAGCATCTGTAACAGTGCCTTGGAGTTGCCCTCAGTCCACTTCCTGTGTGGCCACTCCTTCCACCAACATTGCTTTGAGAGTTACTCGGAAAGTGATGCTGACTGCCCCACCTGCCTCCCTGAAAACCGGAAGGTCATGGATATGATCCGGGCCCAGGAACAGAAACGAGATCTCCATGATCAATTCCAGCATCAGGTGGGGATGAGTGGGCTAGATGGGCCAGGGGATTCCCACTAGTGTCACAGAGTCACTGGAGGGCTTGTTTCCTTATCTCCTCCTCATTTGAGAAACAAGCACTTTGATTCTGATTGGTACTCCTTCCCTCCTCTTCTCCTGCAGCTCAAGTGCTCCAATGACAGCTTTTCTGTGATTGCTGACTACTTTGGCAGAGGTGTTTTCAACAAATTGACTCTGCTGACCGACCCTCCCACAGCCAGACTGACCTCCAGCCTGGAGGCTGGGCTGCAGCGCGACCTGCTCATGCACTCCAGGAGGGGCACTTAAGCAGCCTGGAGGAAGATTTGGGCAACAGTGGAGGACCGAGAGGACAGACACAATGGGACCTGAGCGGGTGTTACACAGAAGGCTGGCTGACATGCCCAGGGCTCCACTCTCATCTAATGTCGCAGCCCTCAGAACTAAAGCAGACTTTCTTTCCCTGCCTTCTTATTTAGCCAGCCTGCCATCCCTCCTCTTCACTAGCAGTGTAGATCATTCCAGATCAGTGGGGGAGGGCACCTCAGCAACCTCTGAGTGTGGACAATAGCTGCTTTATTCTCTATCCAAGAGCACCAGGCTGTGCTTGGGTCCTTGCTCGCAGAGTCTATAAATAAAAGAATATAATGATTTGGGAGCTTAAGGATTTTTTTCTGGGGACTTCCTGGTGATTCTTAACTGCATGATGGACTTCCTTCCCTCTGCTCTCCTGGCGTTCCACTTCCCTCCTATGGTGTTCTTGGAGACCATGTTGGCTCAGTCTCGTTCCAGTAATGGGTGGGGCCTGTGGCATTGCGTACAGTTCAATTTACTGAAGGACCTCTGCAAAAGACCTAATGACTGAGCTCCAGGAGCAGCCTGGACCAAGACATACAAAACAACTCTTGCTCTTTCCTCTTGCTGGTCTCTATGGCTGTAGTTTGGACAAAATACTCAAGCAGGAGGCAGACTCGGGTAGGGAGCTTTGGGCTTAACCTACCTTAATAATGGGTAGGTTGGCATCTTGCTGTACGTACTATCAGATGATAAAGAGGAGAAAAGGTCTTTTCTGGAAACACCTTTCCCTCTTTGAAATTGTCAGCTAAAGTTTATGTTGTTAGGTGTCCCTGTGTAATTTGGGTGGCGCTGCCTGTCTGAAAATTGCTCCTATGTTGTTTTTTTCTCCACAGCCTCACCTAATTTCATCTCCTATGTTGTTTAATTGGAGGAAGTACGTTTGACATTGTGGTTTAGGTAGTATGTAGGATTGCCATGGGCTGGGCGCGGTGGTTCATGCCTGTAATCCCAACACTTTGTGGGACTGAGGTGAGAGGATCACTTGAGTCCAGGAGTTCAAGACCAACCCCCCAGGCAACATAGTGAGACCCCGTCTGTGCAAGAAATAAAAATAAACTAGCCCAGCCTGGTGGCGCTTGCCTGTGGTCCCAGCTACTCAGGAGGCTGAGGTGGGAGGCTTGAGCCCAGGAAGTTGAGGCTGCAGTGAGCCTTGATCACACCACTGCACTCCAGCCTAGGTGAAAGAGACCCTGTCTCAAAAAGTAAAAAAGAAAAAAACAGTGGCAGTATTGTAGCTGCTATGATTTGGATCTATGATTTGGATCCACTGACCTGGGTTCGAATCCTAGTTGTGCTGTTTGACTTAGGGTACATCTTACCTTCTCAACTGGTTATTTATTTTTTTTTTTAATTTTTTTTTTCCCAGTGGGCTTTTGGGGAACAGGTGGTATTTGGTTATGTGAACAAGTTCTTTAGTAGTAACTTCTGAGATTTGGTGCCGATCACCCAAGCAGTGTACACTGTACCCAATGTGTAGTCTCTTATCCCTCACCCTACTCCCACTCTTTCCCCATCAATCTGTTTCTTCATCTGTGCATTAGGGATTATAACACCTACCCTATATGGCTGTTATGAAAGCCTAACAAGCAAATAGGTGTCCAGTTCTTTGTACAGTGCTAAGCACATGGCGCGGTGGCTCATGCTTGTATTCCCAGCACTCTGGGAGGCTGAAGTGGGCGGATCACCTGAGGTCAGGAGTTCGAGACCAGCCTGACCAACATGGTAAAACCCCATCTCTACTAAAAACACAAAAACTAGCTGACTGTGGTGGCGGGTGCCTGTAATCCTAGCTACTCAGGAGGCTGAGGCAGGAGAATTGCTTGAACCCAGGAGGCGGAGGTTGCGGTGAGCCGAGATTACACCATTGCACTCCACCCTGGGCAACAAGAGTGAAACTCCATCTCAAAAAAAAAAATAAAAAAAACATAAAAAAGGGGGGTCTCACTCTGCCATCCAGGCGACAGTGCAGTGGCACCACCATAGCTCACAGCTGCCTCGACTTCCTGGGCTCAAGCGATCCTCACACCTCAGCCTCCTGAGTAGCTGGGACTACAGGCGTGTGCCACCACACTGGATATTTTCTTTTTTTTTTTTTAGTGGCCGGATCTCGGCTCACTGCAAGCTCCGCCTCCGGGGTTTACCCCATTCTCCTGCCTCAGCCTCCCGAGTAGCTGGGACTACAGGCGCCCGCCACCTTGCCTGGCTAGTTTTTTTTTTTTTTTTTTTGTATTTTTTAGTAGAGACGGGGTTTCACTGTATAGTCTCGATCTATAGACAGGATAGTCTCGATCTCCTGACCTCGTGATCCGCCCGTCTCGGCCTCCCAAAGTGCTGGGATTACAGGCTTGAGCCACCGCGCCCGGCCGCACACTGGCTATTTTCGTATTTTTTGTAGAGATGAGGTTTTCACCATGTTGCCCAGGGTGGTCTCAAACTCCTGGGCTCAAGCAGTCTTCCTGCCTTGGCTTCCTAAAGTGCTGGGAATATAGGTGTGAGCCACTGCACCCAGCTGGGTGATTATTAATCATGATTGTTCATTATGTTCATGGGAAAGCACTTTTCCTAATAAGCTCTTTTCTCACTACAAGTATGTAGCGTTTGTGCTCCCACTTCAGTTACTTGTCGTTAGGCATAACCTTTAATCTCTCTGAACCAGTTTCTTCATCTTAAGAATTGAAATGCTGGCTGGGCCAGTGGCTCACGCCTGTAATCCCAGCGTTTTAGGAGGCCAAGGTGAGATAATTGCTTGAGTCCAGGAGTTTGAGACCAGCCTGGGCAACACAGTGAGACCACCTCCCTGCTGTCTCTACAAAAAATCTAGAAATTAGCCGGACGTGGTGCTGTGCACCTGTAGTCCCAGCTACTTGGGAGGCTGAGGTGGGGGGATCGCTGAAGCCGGGAGGTCAAAGCTGCAGTGACCCGTGGTCATCCACTGCACTCTAGTCTGGGGACACAGTGAGACCCTGTATCAAAAAGAAAAATGCTGCCTACTTCAGGGATGTAGCAAAGCTAAGTTTGAACAGAGCAAAGGAAGTGCCATAGAAGCTGCACTACTTGCTCATGCCACAGCTGGGGAATGGAGAGGTCGAATGAGGAGGTCCTCTCTGTCGCAATGTTCCAATTCCCGCCCAGAGGGAGGGACCTCCCCTTCGAGGGAGGGCGCCGGAAGTGACGTGAGCCTTGCGGAGACCAGGAGTCAGACTGTAGGACAAGCTCGGGCCCCACGTGTCCCCGGTACTCGCCGGCCGGAGCCCCCGGCTTCCCGGGGCTGGGGGACCTTAGCGGCACCCAAACACAGCCTACTTCCTAAGCGGAGCCATGTCTGGTAACGGCAATGCGGCTGCAACGGCGGTGAGTGCTGAGCCGGTGACCAGCACACTTTGGGCTTCTGGACGAGCCGTGCAGCAATTGGCCCCAGGTTGCCATCCTCAGTCGCTATTGGTCAGAACGGCTTTTTTTTTTTTTTTGGTCCGAATAGTTTTTAAAGGGCCAGTAGTTCTGTTGCCCTCCGGAAGGAATGGGGAAATCAAGAGAGCGGTGGTGCTGGGTTAAGAGTGGAAGGATTGTCTGGAACAGAACCCCGGTCCCTGCGGGCATCTGGGTGGGATTCCCATCAGGCCTGGGATGCACGGCTCTAGATTTAGTGACCCAGACTGCGAACGTTCGTCTACACAGACGTGGTCCTTTCATTCGAGGCTGGGCCGAGGCGGATGCAGATGCGGCCCCTTTGGGAAGACACGTTCCAATTTTGATTCAGAGGAGAGAGCATAAGCCAAGCCTCCGAACTGCACACAAACGTCTTAGAAGTGCGCCTTATTTTTGTATTACAGTGGTCTCCCAGCCACAACCAACTCTCCAAGTCCTCAGCTGAGACACACCTACTGAATTACTGCCGTGGGTGGGAGGCCGCTGTGGGCCTTCCCATTACAAGCCTGCTTGCTGAGCCCTGGGCTTGTGCACAAACTGCAGAGTTGGTGGAGGCCACTGTCAGGCTGAGATAAGAAAGAGATGGGGAGCTGCTAATCTCCCCCTGTCCAGCCAGTTGGTGAGGGCTGGGATCTTTGCTCCTGCAGTCATTCTGGAGCCCTGGACTAGGAGTAGGAAGATCTGAATTGTAGCCCCAACTCTTTCTCGGTTATTATCTCTGTGACCCTGGGCAAGTCACCTCATGCCTTGGTGCCACCCGTTGCTTCTGTAACATGGTCCCAAAGGTGCCTGTCTTGTCTACCTGATAGGATTGTTGAGAGGACAACAATATGCAGAAGCAATAGCTTCAACATAGAAGTGCTCAATGTTTTATTTTTTAATGAAACGGTTTGACTTGAATATGCTGTGCACATTCAAGGAACTTAAGGAATTGTTTGAACCTAGTAGTTCTGGGACCTTAGAGTCCTTTCTGTGGGCTCCCTGTGGCCCAGAATTTTGGTGGCCACGTTTAGTATTTCAAGCCTAGCCTAATTTGCAAAGGGTCTCCCAGGGTTAATTTACTGGCGTGATCACACGGAGTAGACCAGAGTCTGAGGGCAGCAAACTGTCACCTGCTCCCACAATAGAGACCCCAGATGTTTGGGTGCAAAAGAACTCCATAGCACCCTGGCCAACATGGTGAAACCCCGTCTCTACTAAAAATATAAAAATTAGGCCGGGCACAGTGGCTCATGCCTGTAATCCTAGCACTTTGGGAGGCCAAGGCAGGTGGATTGCCTGAGCTCAGAAGTTCGAGACTAGCCTAGGGAACATGTTGAAACCCCGTTTCTACTAAAAATACAAAAAATTAGCTGGTGTGGCAGCATGCACCTGTAATCCCAGCTACTTGGGAGGCTGAGACAGGAGAATCGCTTGAACCCGGGAGGTGGAGGTTGCAGTGAGCTGAGAATGTGCCACTGCACTCCAGCCTAGGCGACAGAGGGAGACTCTGTCTGAAAGAAAAAAAAAAAAAAAAAAGGAACTCCATAGGATGAACATCCCATATCAGGGAATGTCGACTGTTGACAGTATCAGTATCTACAGTGGCTACTGTCTGATGTAGAAAGAAATGGGATCAGGCCGGATGTGGTGGCTCAGGCCTGTAATCCCAGCGCTTTGGGAGGCTGGGGCAGGAGGATCACAAGGTCAGGAGTTCGAGACCAGCCTGGCCAACATAGTGAAACCCCATCCCTACTAAAAATGCAAGAATTAGCTGGGCATGGTGGTACATGCCTTTAGCTTGAACCTGGGGGGTAGAGGTTGCAGTGAGCCTAGATCATGCCACTGCACTCCAGCCTGGGCAAAAGAGTAAGACTCCATCTCAAAAAAAAAAAAAAAAAAAAAAGAGAAATGGGACGTCTGTCTTAGACTGAAGAATTCAGTTCTACCTGCTTGGCAGTGAATACTTTTGTCCAAGGTACTCTGGCAGGAGGAAGAGGCGTGTCCTCTTGAGTTCTTGACTTGGGCTCTGCCCTCCCAATATTTCCTTGTTGGCGAAACTGGAGACAACACTCTAGGTGAACGAATTTTAGGCAGCGCAGCCTCCTAGTCTTATGGAACATCTGAGGCAGAAGAAACCTGAGTCCAACCTCTTCATTTTATAGATGAACAAACATCCTGATGGGACAATGTACCCAAGGTCACCCAGCCAAGAGGCTGAGCAGGACTGTACATCAGATCTGTTGACCTTAGTCCTTAATGCATGCAGTCCAGCCAGATTAAGTGACTGTTAATACTGTCAGCTTTCCCCACTGTGGCATCTTCATCCTCTTGAGTTCTTTTGCAGCCAGACATCTGGGCCTCTTGCTGGAGAAGGTGGCAGCTTGCTGCTCTTAGACTCTAGTCTACTCCATGTGGCATCTGGATGGCACTGAAATTTTCTCAAGTGCCTCGTCTGTTGTAGATAAGGAATCTATCCTCCAGTGACTCAGCACAGGTTCCCCAGTGTGGTCCTGGCTGCCCCGCCCCTGCCAGCTGCAGGCCCCACCCTTCCTGTGGCCAGGCTGATGGGCCTTATCTCTTTATCCACCTGGCTGTGCACAGCACTCCTACTGACAACTTCCTTGGCCAAGGTGGGCTTCAGGGCTCAGTGTCCTGGTTACTGCAGTGGCAGCAACAGCAGGTCCTACTGTTGCCTCCCTCTAGTCTCTGCTTCTCTGGATCCCTGAGGAGGGCAGAAGGTACTGAGGAAGGTGAAAGGGACCAGCCCAAGTATTTCCCTACTCTGAGCCCCAGCTAGCCACAGGCCAGGTTCTGAAGTTCCTTTCTTCCAAGCCAGTGATTCTGGTTCTTGGACAAGGTATTGAGGAACACAAGGAACAGAGGGGACTGTGACCTGGGGACTTTTTCTGCAGGAAGAAAACAGCCCAAAGATGAGAGTGATTCGCGTGGGTACCCGCAAGAGCCAGGTGGGTGCAGGAGCCTGGGTGGAAGAGGTTTGTCAGAACAGTTGTGATGTTCACAGTACCACAAATTGGGGGACTCAGAAGGTTAATTCCTAGTATGGAGGAGATGGGGTGGCTGGGCGTTAAGTTCCCTGGGGAATGGCAGATTACATTCTATGGCAAGATCGTCCCTAGGCTGGGAAAATTGTTGGAGTACAGAGGGCTCCCAAGCCCCTTCTCATTCTCAGATGGAAATTCCAGTCCCTTCAGGATCTGCCTAACCTATGAGAGTCTGAGCAGTGGCTGGGAAGGGCAGGACTAATCCAAATCTCTACCCGCAGCTTGCTCGCATACAGACGGACAGTGTGGTGGCAACACTGAAAGCCTTGTACCCTGGCCTGCAGTTTGAAATCAGTGAGTTTTCTGGAAAGGAGTGGAAGCTAATGGGAAGCCTGGTACCCCGAGAGGGGAGAACACAGCATTTCTGGCTTTGCCTTTAGCTAAAGCCTGTCTCGCTGCCCCAAGAATCCCTCTGGGCTGCTCCCAGTTCCGAAGGTGCTTTCCTCTGAATACCTCCAGCTCTGACTACCTGGGTTAGCCTGGCATTTAACATCTTGAGCTTTGGGTCTTTTTAGGAGTGTTTCTGGTCTTCCTGCTCGATCATATGTACTCAGAGGGCAGGGACCAGGGATTATGTGCCTCTGTCCTCATCATGAATCGTAGCACAGTGCTGGGCTCAGTAAATGCTGATCAATAATGAGCGCCTGATTGATTGACTCTCTCCTCAGTTGCTATGTCCACCACAGGGGACAAGATTCTTGATACTGCACTCTCTAAGGTAACAACATCTCCCTCCCCAGTTCTTGTCCCCACTCTTCTTTCCTTCCCTGAAGGGATTCACTCAGGCTCTTTCTTGTCCGGCAGATTGGAGAGAAGAGCCTGTTTACCAAGGAGCTTGAACATGCCCTGGAGAAGAATGAGTAAGTAAAGATAGGAGAGTGTGGTGCCCCCCCAGTCTCTTGCTGGGAACCTAGTGTGCTAGGTCTCTTGCTGGGACCCCGGGTGTCAGATAGGCTGCTGGGCTTAAACCCTCAGAGAGGCTGAAGGCGGCGCATAGGTGGGTTTTTTCAGGCTTCAGAAAAGGAGAGAGTCTGGTTCTGAGCCAGCTGGCTGCCTGGACTGCAAGAGTGGCTGGGGGAGGGAGGGTAGGAGGGAGAGTGAGAGGAGGGCAGGTTTCATGCTCCTGAGATTTTGGGAAGGCGTGCTTCCTGAACTGCCCTAGGCTCCACCACTGAAGTGGAGGCAGGGGTGGGTGGAGAAGGGGTGAAGGCTGGCTGCTCATTCCCTTTCTCTTCACCCCCATCTCCCATCTCTGTAGAGTGGACCTGGTTGTTCACTCCTTGAAGGACCTGCCCACAGTGCTTCCTCCTGGCTTCACCATCGGAGCCATCTGCAAGTAAGAGTTTTGCAAGTAAGGGGCTTGGGCAGGGGTAGGCATCAGGTGAAACTTTACCTTTCCCTTTGGGATCTGACCCTCTGCTCCAGGGTTATCTCCTCTGCCCTGAGGAGTGTTGACTGGTGGCAGAAAACTCAGGAAATACCAGTGAGTTGGTGGTGATCTGAACTTAAATTTCTTCCTTCATTCTATGCCCTTCCCTCCTCCTCCAGGCGGGAAAACCCCCATGATGCTGTTGTCTTTCACCCAAAATTTGTTGGGAAGACCCTAGAAACCTTGCCAGAGAAGAGGTAAGTGGGGCCTGGATAGGCAGCTTGGTGGGATGTGCCCAGAAGATGCAGGGATGGGAGGAGGGGGAAAGGAACAGTGACCGCCTAGAGTTAAAATCTCATTGTAACCTCTCTCTGGGCAGTGTGGTGGGAACCAGCTCCCTGCGGAGAGCGGCCCAGCTGCAGAGAAAGTTCTCACATCTGGAGTTCAGGAGTATTGTATCCTTTTAAAAGAGTGACAGGGGCAGCAGCCAAGGAAAAAGGCAAGGTCTAGAGGGCTCTGGGAGTCCTGAGAGTGGAAGGGGCTTCCAGCAAGCAGCCCGTGGGGTTAGTGGCCTGTCTGTCCTTCCATCCACTCATCCGTCCACTCATTTATAGTCTAGTGTTTTCTTAGTCCCAGACAAGTGTTTGGAGTGCAAGGCATTGGGGATAATGGTGAGCAAGATAAACATTCCCCTGCATATGTAGAGTTTACTTTTTACTTAGGGATAATGCAGTTATACTGAACAGTACTTCCTTATTTTTTATTTTTATTTTTTGAGACAGGGTCTCACTCTGTTGCCCAGGCTGGAGTGCAGTGGCGCAATCTAGGCTCACTGCAACCTCTGCCTCCTGAGTTCAAGCAATCCTTCTACCTCAGCCTCCCAAGTAGTGGGGATTACAGGTGCCTGCCACCACACCTGGCTAATTTTTGTATTTTTAGTAGAGATGGGGTTTCACCATGTTGGTCAGGCTGGTCTCAAACTCCTGACCTCAGGTGATCCACCGGCCTTGGCCTCCCAAAGGGCTGGGATTACAGGCTTGAGCCACCATGCCTGGCCAGTACTTCCATTTTTATATGCTACTATATTGTTTTGACTTTTACAATGAATATGTAGTACATTTCATAAAACTAAATTTAAAAATAGTATGTGTGAAGTGCTCCAATAAGTGAAGTTGGGAATTTTCTGGAAACTTCTAGTTGGAACATCTAAACACAGAAGTCTGGGGGTTCAGGGAAGGTTTGTTAGAGGTCTTGTAACCTTGGCAAGTCATTTAGCCTCCCTATGTCATTTTCCTTATCTGTAAAGTGGGGATAATAATACTACCTTCCTCACAGGGTTGTTGTGAAGATGAAATGATCTGACATATGGAAAGTACTTTTACAGCAGTGTCTGGCATGTAGTAAGTATGATGTAAGTGTTAGCTGTTACCATTAAGCTGAGAGCTGGAAGATGAGTGAAAGTCAGCCAGCTAGAGAAGGAAAGACAGACTCAGGCAGAGGGAATCTCATGAGGCCCCAGATTGCCCGACACTGGTCCTTAGCAACTCTCCACAGCGGGGAAACCTCAACACCCGGCTTCGGAAGCTGGACGAGCAGCAGGAGTTCAGTGCCATCATCCTGGCAACAGCTGGCCTGCAGCGCATGGGCTGGCACAACCGGGTGGGGCAGGTAGGGGCTGCCCCTATCCTATCCCCAGTTCATCTGCATCTCCTTTCTGCCTTATAGTCATCCCCAATTTAGGATTTTTAGACTTTATGATTGTGTGAAAGTGATATACGTTCAGTAGAAACTGTACTTAGTACCCATACAGCCATTCTGTTTTTTACTTTCAGTATAGTATTCATTACATGAGATATTTAGCACTTTATTATAAAATAGGCTTGGTGTTAGATGATTTTGTCCAACTATAATAGGTTAATGTTAAGTGTTCTGAGCACATGTAAAGTAGGCTAGGTATATTAAATGCATTTTCAGCTTGTGTTTTCAACTTAGCAATGGGTTTATCAGGATGTAACCCCATTGTAAGTCAAGGACCATCTGTCTTCACTTCTTGACCACCCCACCTCTAACACCACAGGCTGGGAAGATTGTGAATCAGAGGCTAGACTCTAGGCCTTCATGGAGAAAATTTACCAAAAAAAAAAAAAGAGGCCAGACCTGCACTTAGGCCTACCCAGGCTTTCTCGATGATAGGAATCATCTCACTGCCAAGTGTTTTTAGACATCCCTGTGTCCACCCTTTTGACTACCTGTTCTGCCTCCACAGATCCTGCACCCTGAGGAATGCATGTATGCTGTGGGCCAGGTATACTTGACCAGGGAAGCCACATGGTGACATATCCCTTCCCTTTGTTCTCAACCAAGAAGCTGGTCTCACAACCTTCTGCATCTGCTACCCCAGAATAGCATTCTCAGGGAGGGGCAGGCCTTGGGATGCTACTGGTCCAAAAGGCCCGGGGGAGCAAGTAGATAGAGATGGTCCTATGCTTTGCGCCATTGGTTGGGGAAAGAGCAGGCCTGATGTCCTAGGCTGTTTTTCCATCAGGGGGCCTTGGGCGTGGAAGTCCGAGCCAAGGACCAGGACATCTTGGATCTGGTGGGTGTGCTGCACGATCCCGAGACTCTGCTTCGCTGCATCGCTGAAAGGGCCTTCCTGAGGCACCTGGTAGGGCCTGTGCTCCACCTGTGGAGGGCTGGGGACTTGGAGAGCTGGGAAAGGTGGTGGGGACGATTTCTCACATGAATGCTCTGTATATAGTGCTAACTCATTCTTGTTGAATGTTGTGTATGGAGAGGACCAGGTCTGAGCCCACAGTTATCTTTTCAGTGATGTCCTCAGGTCTGTGGTCACAGGATGGTGTTAAGAGCCCTTGGAGCTCACAAGAACTTCTCATTCCAGGAAGGAGGCTGCAGTGTGCCAGTAGCCGTGCATACAGCTATGAAGGATGGGCAAGTAAGTGGGGGGAAATAGGTGGCAAGCCAGGGAAGGGAGGACTGTGGCATTTCTTCCTGTGCATCCCAGGTTTCTAAGCAGTCCGCTCTCAGACTGTGCTGAGGCAACTGTTTTCTTCCCCAGCTGTACTTGACTGGAGGAGTCTGGAGTCTAGATGGCTCAGATAGCATACAAGACACCATGCAGGCTACCATCCATGTCCCTGCCCAGGTACCAAAGCTGGAGGGTGAGGGGGTAATAAACAAGAGTGCATATAATCTCATTTGTTCTCACCAATTCCCACCTCCTTCCCGCATACAGCATGAAGATGGCCCTGAGGATGACCCACAGCTGGTAGGCATCACTGCTCGTAACATTCCACGAGGGCCCCAGTTGGCTGCCCAGAACTTGGGCATCAGCCTGGCCAACTTGTTGCTGAGCAAAGGAGCCAAAAACATCCTGGATGTTGCACGGCAGCTTAACGATGCCCATTAACTGGTCTGTGGGGCACAGATGCCTCGGTTGCTGCTGTCCAGTGCCTACATCCCGGCCCTCAGTGCCCCATTCTCACTGCTGTCTGGGGAGTGATTACCTCAGAAGACTGAACTGCAGGGTTCAAGCCTTCCGGGGATTTGCCTCAGTTTGGGGCCTTGATGACTGCCTTGCCTCCTCAGTATGTGGGGGCTTCATCTCTTTAGAGAAGTCCAAGCCACAGCCTTTGAATGTAACCAACTCTACTAATAAACCAGCTCTGAAGGTGTTTTTGTGTGTGTGGGGGGGGGTGTTGGCGGGAAGATATGAACAAACACAAAGCCCTTTCATCCTTACCTCGGAGGCTGGGACTTTTGCCCAAAGTTCTCCTGGTACATCCTTTCTGCTTCTGCCTCAATAGTTTTCATTTCACACAGAATAAATTGTCTCGCAGGAACACCAAGAAACAGAGCCATAATCTTAAATTCCTATGGTTTGCTCCTTCTTCGGTTAACAGTAGAGCCTATTTATATTGCATGCCCCTCCCACCCCCACTATCAGGAAAGTATAGAAAGTCACTAATCCTACAACTCTCTTGCAAAATGAAAACAAATGCTCCATTTTTAGAAAAACAATCCTTTAATAAAATTAGTTCATCTAAAACTCCCCAATGCCTAAGGTTCTAGTCTTGGAAGGGTTAGCTGCAAAATTCCAGTTCGGAAGCCAACGGAGGCTCAGTCCAGACAGGGATTAACCGACTTGTGCTGGTATCTAGGTGCTTGGATTGCCGAGTTGAGTTTGCTGGAAGGGAAATGGGGAGGCCCGACAGGCTTGGCTGCCAGTCGGCTTCCGCGAAAACGACTCTTGCTGTCCACATAGCCAGCCGTGAAGCCAAACTGCAGGCCTCTGCCCTCCCCTAAATGTCCTCGTAGGAGGCAGTCACTCGGGAGGAAGATGTGCCTGTTACCAAGTGCTTCGTCCCGGCCCCAGCGCAGACCTATGAATGAAGATGGAGGGAGATCTGACGTGAAAGGCCTGGGTCCCGGCCGCAGAGGGGGCGCCAGACCGAAACCAGCGATCGTGTCTCTCCCACCAAAGCCTCCAGGCCAGCGGCCACGTCTGAAAGTCCTGGGCTAAGCACCACGCCGGGGGAGTGCCGGACACCCTGGCTGCAGCTGCCGAGGGCCTCACTCACCTTCAGGGCCGCCGGCCTCTCGGCCTGGACTGCCCACCTCGGCCCTGCGTCAGAGCGGAAGGCCAAGTCTTCCAGAAGGTGCTGCGGCCTCCCCGCAGCCCCTCAGCGACTCAGGATGGGGCAGCTGGCTGAGTCACGAGCGCCGAGGCGGGCAGGTGCGGCGCCGCCGGCCTCCCCCCGGCAGGCTCGGGTCCTCCGCGCCACGGTGGTCCCCGAAGAGTGCCCAAGCCGCGTCCAGAGGGCCCGAGCCCTACCGGAGGGCGGCCGGCGGATGGGGCAGGGCCCGAGGCCGACGCGGCAGGCGGTGCAGGCCAGGAGGGGGGCGGGCGGGGACTCGAGGCCGGGCGGCAAAGGCGGGCGATGGGAGGGGAAAGGAGCCGGGAGCCGCGGCCCGCTTGCCCCGCAGTCTGAAGTGGCTCAGCTCTTTCCATGAGGGCGGTGGTGGCCCTTAAAAGGGCCTTTGTGGTGGCATGGGGAGGCCTGGCGGCCGGCCGCGGCGCGGGCCCTCTTAGTACTCCTGGGAGGCCTGGGTGGCCTTTTTGCCGCCCGAGGGCGCCTTCGGCCCCACGGTGGCGCTGGTCTTCTTGGGCAACAGCACGGCCTGGATGTTGGGCAGGACGCCTCCCTGGGCGATCGTCACGCCGCCCAGCAGCTTGTTGAGCTCCTCGTCGTTGCGGATGGCCAGCTGCAGGTGGCGGGGGATGATTCGCGTCTTCTTGTTGTCGCGGGCCGCATTGCCCGCCAGCTCCAGGATCTCAGCGGTGAGGTACTCCAGCACTGCCGCCAGGTACACGGGCGCGCCGGCGCCAACGCGCTCGGCGTAGTGGCCCTTCCGCAGCAGCCGGTGTACACGGCCCACTGGGAACTGGAGGCCGGCGCGCGACGAGCGCGACTTGGCCTTGGCGCGGGCCTTGCCGCCAGTCTTGCCGCGGCCCGACATGCTAGCGAGGTAGACCGGTGAAGTACAACGGTTCAGAGACACCCCAACAGAAGCCCGCCGCAGTGTAACTGCTGTCGCGCGCGCGCCGTGAGGCCGCCTTTATAAGCCCCCAGGACACACCTCTGCGCCCTCCTGATTGGCTCTTTTCTCCAATACCCGCCTCCGGTTGGTTGCGGTTAACCCTTGGGTGTCGCGCCTCGGCTGAGGGAGCGCGCCCGCTGATTGGTCGAATTTGAAAACCTTTTGCCCGGGGAGAAAAGGCGAGGAGGCGGGGTAGCACGCAGACGGCCAAACACCCGCTGATGTAGCCAATCCTTGTAAAGCGCGCGAGATTTAAACACTACAGTCGGAAGGCAGAACCGGAAGACAAAAGGGGTGGAGTCTGAGGCCACCTAGAGAGCGTCTGGGAAATCTGTGCTGGCGTAGGATGTTTAAAGGAAAGGGGTCAATACTATAGCTACCCTTTCCAGGTCCGGTCACTCCACACTCCCTTCTCCTACCTGACAAAGGGAGAATGGAAAAGGGAAGAAATTAGACCCCTTAAAGTTTTCTTTTTCTTTCTTTCTTTTCTTTCTTGTTTTTAATAGACCAGGTCTTGCTTGCTGTCACCCAGGCTGGAGTGCAGTGGTGTGATCTCAGCTCACTGCAAGCCTCGGACTCCTGGGCTCAAGGGATCCTTCCTGCTTAACCTCCCGAGTAGATGGTACTACAAATGCTCCACTACAGTGGGCTAATTATTTATTTTTGTAGAGACGGAGTCTCGTTTTGTTGCCCAGGCTGTCTTGAATTCCTGAGCTCAGGCAATCCTCCTGCCTCGGCCTCCTAAAGTGCTGGGATTACAGGCATGAGCCACTGTACCTGGTGTCTTTGAAAGTTTGACCCCATGCCAGGAAACAGGATAACTTCAATTTTGTGGCCCTCCATGCCACCTGAAGTATCAGGATTTAAATGTTTATTCAATATGTTCTGTTTGGTCTCAGTTCTGTTCACTTCTTGTTAGACGGGGTCTGGTGGGGCAGAGAGATAGGCATCCTGTTGGAGGAAGTACCCCCACCTACCCTCCCAATCCACCCAAAAATGCCCATATAGGAAATATACCTACAGGAACAATAAGAAATAGACAACACTTTATTGTCTCCATTGAGAGCATGTGGCCCCCTGCTTACTTCTTACTAATCAGAACACTTAATTTACAATCAAATAACAGGTCACTGTGGAGCCTGTGTCCCTAGCCCTGGCCCAAGTTCTATCCCAAAAAGCAGTAGTTCCTTGAGAGTCAGGACTCTGAAATGTGACTGTGGATAACTGCAAAAAAAAAAACTGCTGTATCCCACCCTGTGAGGCTGCAAAGACAGGATGGAGAGGGAGAGTAGCAAGTTGCAGAAAGTCATAAGTAAAATCCAATCAGTAGACAGTAGGGGGCAAGAAACGCCCAGGATGCCAGTGATCACAGGGAAAAGAAAATGCTGAGAACAAAATCTGGAAGAGTATGAAGAGTGAGAGAGGCCTGGGCAAGGAGGCAGTCTGGGACCAGAGAGAGGTCAGCCTGAGTCAGGAATCCTAGAGACTGTGAGGTAAAGGACAATGATCAAGGGACTCAGACATCATAGAAGAGTCGAACGAGCTGATATCGAATGGAGAAGGTGAAGGCACTGCCCAGGATCTGCAAGGAGAAATGGACTGGAGTAAGAATCACGGAGAAAGGGAGACAAGGAGGTATAAACCCAATCCCCATCCTCACCTGCAGCAGCAGCAGGAGCAATGTGAGGTTTCTCTCATGTATGGGCCCAAAGATTTTAAGTAGCAAGTTGATGAGGGTCATGTTGTTACATTCAGTGAATTCACCATCCTCAGTATCACTTTGGTGTATTGTCACCAGCCGGAGGCTCTCTGCCACCTGGAGGGACCAGAGGTGAAGAGAACCTCAGCTAATACCTATGCTTTAGGAATGTGGATCTATTTAATGCTTCCAAGTTCCCCTTGGATCTGATGTAGGCCTAGGTTCCCCATTCCTCAAGGTCAGGATGGCAGCCTAGGGCCTTACCTCCTTGTTACCCTGTTACCTTTAAAATAAAGGTGCCCAAGAAAGAGAGGCTCTTGGTCTTGAACTTGGAATAGCTCATCTCCAGTTTGCCTGTCTTGATATTGAGTCTGCGGGGGGAAGACAGCTTCATGTGACTGGGCCACTATTTGAACCCTCCTCCCTGTGGCTAATCAATAGGAAGAGCATTGAATGTGGAGTCAACCTGAGATCTATTTCTGGCTCTGCTGCTTGCTGTTATCAGAACCACTGTGAGTATCAGATGATGCAAATAAATGTGCTTTGGAAGTTATAAAGGGTTACTCACATGGAAATAGCCCTTCTTTGGGCCCACTCCCTTTGCACAGCAATGTAAAGGCTGGCATTAGATATCCCAAGTGAAAAGGCTATGATGTCCATTTCAAGCCCCAAAGCGGCTACCTGGGTATGCGGTGGCGAGGGCAGGGGATGATATGCAGGAGCTGAGGCAGTGAGTAGAGGAAGTTGAACACCTGGGGCATGAAGAATAGTAGCATGGTCTTGCTGAAGTGTCCCAAGATGCCCACCACGGCAAAGGTCATGCCAGCAAAGTAACAGAAGGTATCTCCCACAAACACCCGTGATGGGTACCTGTGTGGGGGAGAGGATCCGAGCCAGTGGCAAGAGGCATTACCAATCCTTTCTCTCACATCACACCCTATGGGCACTGGACTAGCCCTGACCCTAGTTCTGACTTAGAGGAGACTCCAGTTGTGCAGCAACTCTGCAGGATCCAAGGCCCTGAATTCATCTATTCCTGGGACCTCCACGCACTCATCCCCAAATACTGTTGGGTAGGGAGAAATTTCAGAATACGACCAACTGAAGACACAGAAAATTCCATGGAGGTATGCACAGGTTTAACCTCTCCACCACAAGGTGGGTTATGATAAGGGCCATCTTTGCCATGTGTTCGGGTAGTTTTCCCCTTTTCCCCTTATCCATAGGCCTACTTACCAGTTGTGGTACAGCAATCCCAAAGTGGTGAAAAAAAAGGGTATCATGAAGTAGAGGGAAAAGACATGATCATCCCGACAATCACCTTTGGAAGCAAGGAAGAAAGAAGGGAAAATTAATACCCACTTCTTCTGCATACCATGGTCCTATTTTTGTCTAAGTTCTGTTTACAGCTGTATCATCCACCTCACCCAAGTCACTTTCAAGAACTCAATACCCCTTTTATGTCACCCAAGGCAATTCCCAATATTCCACCTCTTTCATGCAGCCTTCCAAACTAGTTACTGTCTTAAATTTGGTTTAGCCCATTCTGATGTCAGTTTGGACACCAACTTTACTTCTTAGCTTTGTGACCTTGATCTTGATCATGACACATTTAACTTCTCTAAATCTGTTTACTCATCTGTAAAACAGGGCTGATTATAACATGTGCCACATAAAACCATTACAAGATTTAAATACGATCATGTTTAAAAAGTACTTAGCTTTAATAAACATTTGTTGATGTCCATCAGCCAAAGACCACTAGAAACACATCTATAGTTCGAAGCTAGGTTTAATGACTTGTAAAAAGGGAGACTTCAGAAACCACACACCATTGGGAACCACGGAATGTCTCAGTAAGAGAGTGTTAGGAGGGGCTTGCAGTTTTGGGTATTTTGGGAGAGGGTAAAAGAAAGTAAGAGTTTTGCTCTGGATTGGGTGCTGTTAGAAAGCAGGTGTAATTCATGGCCGGGTGCGGTGGCTCACACCTGTAATCCCAGCACTTTGGGAGGCCGAGGTGGGCGGATCACCTGAGGTCTGGAGTTTGAGACCAGCTTGACCAACATGGAGAAATCCCATCTCTACTAAAAATACAAAACTAGCTGGGCGTGATGGCACATGCCTGTAATCCCAGCTACTAGGGAGGCTGAGGCAGGAGAATCGCCTGAACCTGGGAGGTGGAGGTTGCAGTGAGCCGAGATCGCACCATTGCACTCCAGCCTGGGCAAGAGTGAAACTCCGTCTCAAAAAAAAAAAAGAAAAAGAAAAGAAAACAACAATAATTCTATGATCAAGCATTTTAATGTTTATCTAAGAAGTGGTAGGAACTGGCTGGCCACAGTGGCTCAAGAGTGTAATCCCAGCACTTTGGGAGGCCAAGGCTGACAAATCACTTCGGCCCAGGAGTTCAAGACCAGCCTAGGCAACGTGGTGAAACCCTGTCTCTACAAAAAATACAAAAATTTGCCAGGTGTGGTGGCGCATGCCTGTAGCCCCAGCTACCTGGGAGTCTGGGGCAGGAGGATCGTTTGAGTCAGAGGATGCAGTGAGCTAAGATCGTGCCACTGCTCTCCAGCCTGGGTGACAGAGGGAGACCCTGTCTCAAAAAACAAAATAAAAGGTGGTAGGAACTGAGTTGTTATTGGAAAGCCGCAGCAGTCGCTCATGGCTCACGTTAACAGAGAGAGAGGATCTTGGCCATTTTGTGGGTTGCTCAGTGTTTTTGTGGTTTTATCTGTGCTCAAACAGGATTATAGAGGGAGGGGTCGAGTTTTGGTCTTCCTCCATCATGGTCACAGAATGACCCTGTGTAACGTTGAGGTTCTGTGAAATTGTTTATATTCAATGGGAGAAGATCATGGCCTAGCTGTTAGTGCCAATCCAGCTATAAATGACACGGCTGCTATTTTTCTTTCTCACTTTCAATAAATCTGCATTATTTGCAAAGTAAGTAGCCTCCCTTATCTTCTATAATTACTACGCATATTGCTTTTTTTCCCTGAATTTCCCAAAGTCATATATCAGGCCACACCTTTAACATTCAGACTTCTCTCTCCCCACCCCCAATCCCACCTACCTTCCAACTCTACCAGGTTGAAGACAATGATGGAAGCAGAAATTACTAGTGACTGGCCAGCCTCTAGGCCATTAATTCCTGCTAGGATATTGATGGCATTGGTACAGAACACTGCCAGCAGCCCCATGTAGACATAGTACAGGATTCCTGAAGGGAGAGATGGTAGGAAAAGTAGTGCCACCTAGGGGAGGAGGATTTAGAAAAGTGGTGAGGACAGAGGATAGGATGAAGGGCTACCAGAAAGGATCTGGGAAGACACAGAGACAGAAAAGGAACACTTGAAGGAGAATGTGAAGCACCAGGAAGGGTGCCCTGAAGTAGGTGCCATAGGAGTAGCAGTGGCAGGACTACCTACCCAAGTCCAGATGCAGGCCAAGAATCGGGCGGAAGGGCTTCGGCACCACAATGGTCGTGTTGCCAAAGTTGGTGAAATAGACCATGAGGAGAGGTAGTGAGGCAGCTGTGGGTAGCAGCAGCTTATGGCGCCAGCGCAGATTCAGTACATCATCCGCAAAGCCCAGGAAGATCATGCAGCAGATGGCAAGGAGGGCACCTATCAGGGCCACAAACTGGGGGAGGCTAGGGCAGGTCCATGACTCAAGCCTGCTCCCATTTCACCTTTTAAGAATTCTTGTCTTTTCTTATCATTTCTTAGCCCCTCCCCACAAGCCCAAATAACACCAATTCTCTCAGGTACCTCCCAGGTCCCAGCCACAGGCAACAACCCCCACGAACCCACTTACTTCATGGTGGGGGAATGCCTTACACTGCTCCTTCACAAAGCAGTTCAGGAAGGGGAAAGGGATGAAGCAGAAGAGGATGATAAGGAAAACAGCACCGCTGATCACTCCCTGGGATTCTGGGCTGTGGCCCAGCAGCAAGGGGGCGAGGGGAAAGAGGAAAGGGGGTGTGGTCACTCACTAGTGCAGGTGTTACAATAACCCAAAGCGGTCTTCTCATTCCTGGTTTTTTATTTTGGGAAGTGGTGAGGGGGGCGGAGGGAGGAAAGCACCACTGCTAGAGTCCCTGATATACCCAAGGTTCCCTACCCATCCTTTCCCCAATGCGAATAAGTTCTGCTCATCACCTCTCCGAGTTCCAGGCTGCCTGGGTTAGTTCTGAGTTTTCACGTGTGGTCAAACACCCCGGTCCCCGCCCCTGCCCTAGCCACTCCTTCCTTAGCCCTTGCCCCCTGCCCGGAACCGTGTGCCGCTGCTCACATCTGTTGTCGGCTGGTTTTGTTGAGGTCCTGACCACAGAGGCGCGCAGCAATGAAGTGGCCCCGGAAGGCTGGGATGAGGGTGACTGTGGCCACAAATCCCAGCAGCGAGACGATCAAATTGACCAGCAGCGGCATGGGCAATTCCGAGAAGGCCCACATGGTGACCGGTCAGGGGCCCGGCTCCGCCGCCTCTTCAGGTAACTGGCAAGCTGAGCAGCAGTCCTGAGGCCTCAGCAGTATGGAGTGGCCGCTCCCCACAGGCAGGCTCTTCCCACACCAATCTGAGCAGAATCCAACAACTCTGACTTGAGCCGCCCTCGGGACCTCGAAGAACCTCTCTAAGGCAACCTAGGTTCTGCCCCCACTGAACCAGCCTACCTACTGTTTCCGCCCGGATTTTATTCGCTGAACAACTATTACTGCGGAGGGCGGCAGCCGCCATTTTTAATATGGGCACTAGAGGTGGGGGGGGGGTGGAGGTGAAAAAGAAGTGTGATTCTAAATTTCATCCTATGTTCGAGAGTAGAATCACCGAGAGAATATTGGAAACGCAATTAAAGAAAAGCAGCCAAGAACGGATACTTCCCTAACATTATTTTAAAGATGTACTACCCAGAGCGGAAATGCCAGTTGCCCGGTTCCAAGATGAATGCCTCCTTGTACCACGTGTCTGATACAGCTCACATTCCGGTTGCACGTCAGTTTTAGCTCAGTCCGCCTCCGTAGGTCAATTTTAAAGGGACCGTACCTTGCCCTTAATCTGGGATGCCTCCGGCTTCAGGAAAATGGCTATTGAAAGGCAGGGGGTGGGGAGGAGGGACGATGGTGTGGAGCCGCGCCTGTTCCTTGCAGGAAACCTGTTGCCAACATAGTCAGAAGCCAAGGTAAACACAACTCAGTTCCCGGAAACGCAGCTACGGTTTGGAAGGATGGTGTAAATTCTGAAGCGTAGATCCTTGAAAAGCCCCTCCCACTCTGTTTTTCTTGTCCTCGATCCTGGTATTTTTTTCTCAGCATCCCACCCACCTTCTGCCCCAGCTGTAGCAGTTAGTTGCCCGGCAACCCAGCGCAGCACTTTACTCAGGGATTGGGAGTACCCTCAGGTCTTGGATTTAACTCGGGACTTCAGCTTGGCCCTGGATCCATTGTACTTAGCGCCCACAAGGAGGAGACGGAGATTTCCAGGCTGAGGCTCTGGAAACAGCTAAGGAGGCAGAGGAATCAGACCCACAACTGACTTCCTGTGAGTCTGAGGAACTCCCAGTCAGGTTTCTTCCTGTAGGTCACTGTGCATTTTGCTTGGCCTCCTGCAGGTCGCTGTGCATTTTGCTTGGCCTGTTCCCCTGCAAACAACAATTCGCCAGCTGTTGTTTTTTTTTTTTGAGATGGAGTTTCGCTCTTGTTGCCCAGGCTGGAGTGCAATGGTGCGATCTCGGCTTACTGCAACCTCCACTTCCTAGGGTCAAGCGATTCTCCTGCCTCAGCCTCCCGAGTAGCTGGGATTACAGGCAGTCGCTTGGATTACAGGCATGCGCCACCACGCCTGGCTAATTTTGTATTTTTATTAGAGACGGGGTTTCCCCATTTTGGTCAGGCTGGTCTCGAACTCTTGACCTCAGGCGATCTGCCCGCCTCGGCCTCCCAAAATGCTGGGATTACAGGCCTGAGCCACCACGCCCAGCCAGTTCACCAGCATCTTTTTTTTTTTTTTTTTTTTTTTTTTTTTGAGACGGAATCTCGCTCTGTCGCCCAGGCTGGAGTGCAGTGGCCGGATCTCAGCTCACTGCAAGCTCCGCCTCCCGGATTTACGCCGTTCTCCTGCCTCAGCCTCCTGAGTAGCTGGGACTACAGGCGCCGCCACCTCGCCCGCCTAGTTTTTTTTTGCGTTTTAGTAGAGACCGGGTTTCACCGTGTTAGCCAGGATGATCTCGATCTGCCGACCTCGTGATCCGCCCGTCTCGGCCTCCCAAAGTGCTGGGATTACAGGCTTGAGCCACCGCGCCTGGCCACCAGCATCTTTATTACCTTTCATTCCCCCACAGGCTCTTAGGCGGTAAATGATTTCCATTCGTCAGAGAGGAAGTCACCACCAGTGAGTTAGGGAAAGGACTCCAATAGCCTAGCACTTTGTCCACTCTTCCCTCTTTGGCATGTTCCAGGAGTCAGGGTCACGTTGACTCTTTTTAAGCTGAAGATAGTTCCTTCTTTCCCTCAAAATCAAATGTGAGGCTGGGCGTGGTGGCTCATGTCTGTAATCCCAGCACTTTGGGAGGCGAAGGTGGGTGGCTCACTTGAGGTCAGGAGTTCAAGACCAGCCTGACCAACACGGTGAAACCCCATCTCTACCGAAAATACAAAAATTAGCCGGGCGTGGTGGCACATGCCCGTAATCCCAGCTACTCAGGAGGCTGAGGCAGAAGGATCGCTTCAACCCAGGATATGGAGGTTGCAGTGAGCCGAAATCATGCCACTGCACCCCAGCCTGGGCAACAGAGGGAAACTGTCTCAAAACAAGCAAACAAACAAACAAACTCAGATGTGAAATGGCTTTTCTACTTGAAAATGGCTCTAATTAACAACAAAAACCCAGATATGTATAAAATACATACATTCTCATAATTTACTTGCTAGTATTCCACCAGATTTTCAGTACTTATCCCACTGCTGTTATTTTTCTGTGTGTGTGTTGTGTGTATGCACGTGTGCCCCTCTTGAACTGGAAACTCCCAGGAGGCAAGTGTTTTCTCTTCCACAGGGTGTCCCCATGGGGCTAGGAACACAGACATCTGTGTACAAGGAAGGCATCATCACACGTAATGAGGCTGAGTCTGAAAGAAGCACTGAGGTGCATATGGAGGGAGCAATCAGTTGTGACCACAGTAAGTGGTCTTGAGGAAGAGAAGTATCATTTCAGTAGATTATAAGAGTAGAAGGACCTTTCACAGGCGGCGACAGTGAGACGCCAGAAGCAGGTGGAAAGGAGGAGCTTGTGGGATCCCAGAGGAGGCAGCATTCAGTTATCCTGTTGATGATGAGTATACTGAGACTCCCTGGAGGTCTGAGAGCCAGTCTGTATCTATTTCCTTTTTTATTAGCAGGCCAATCCTAATAAATCTTCCTTCCCAGCCTGGTATTGGGAAGCTTTGTCTCTTTCTTCTCCAGAGATCATTAGCCCTCCCTACCATCACCCTCCTGGGGAGGGCGGGAGGACATAATCAAAGACGAGATACTAAGGATTCATCATCCACATATACAAGTTACCATCAGAAAATGGTTACTAAGATGCTTGTCAAATAATCTGAGTATTTTTGTTCCCATGATGGTAAAGGCCCAGTTGATTATCAGACTAATCAGAAGGAGAAACAAACAAACACATGATTTTTGGCTTCACTTGAAGTTGTGTGCCTTTCCTGGTAAAGTTCAAAGCATTTTCTTGAATGCTGATGCAGGCCCTAGAATTCACAGACCAGCTGACTTGTCAGTGGCCCTGGACTGAGCAGACAGTGTTTGAGATGCACATCTCTTCTAAGGAGCCCTGAGTGGCTCCCAATGAGCAAGGTCAATCCACTAAATCTGATTGCTAGACAAAGCCTGTCCCAAAAATGTTTCATAGTGCCACAAAGACAATGAGACCCCTCTGGATAGTCTGGGGCTCTATCTGTGGCTCTGTCCAGACAGCTGAATCACTCTTTTTCCTTTTCCTCCCACCTCTCCTCTCTTAGTCTAGAAAAAAAGTTGTTAATTAAAAGCAAGCCCCAGGATTTCCCATTCCACTGGTATGGCATGAATGATATTTCAAAAGACAGAAATGGCATAGAAATTCTCTTCTGTTAGTCCCCCTTTTTTTTTTTTTTGAGACGGAGTAGCCCAGGCTGGAGTGCAGTGGCGCCATCTCAGCTCACTGCAACCTCCGCCTCCCAGGTTCACACCATTCTCCTGCCTCAGCCTCCCTAGTAGCTGGGACTACAGGCACCCGCCAACACGCCTGGCTAATTTTTGTATTTTTAGTAGAGACGGGGTTTCACCATGTTAGCCAGGATAGTCTCGATCTCCTGACCTCATGATCCACCCACCCCAGCCTCCCAAAGTGCTGGGATTACAGGCGTGAGCCACCGCGCCTGGCTAGACTTCTTAAAATTACAAAGTTTGTTAATCCCTACTATGTGCATAGGAAGCTCTTCAGTACGGTGGAGGATACAAACTGATATAATTATAGTTGCTTGTCCCCAAGGAGTCTACCTCAGCATATTTAGAGCATCTTGGTTGAATTTGAGGGAAGAGATATGACTAAGACATGGTTCCCACCCCTAGGCAGCTTCCTGATGAATGGAAAAAGCAGACATATAAACAATCAGCTAGACTCTAAGGCAGAATGAAGTAAGTGCTAGATGTCCAAGTAATGGATGAAAGAGGGAGGGCTAGGCTGGGTGCAGTGGGGGGAGGATCACCCGAGGTCAGGAGTTCGAGATCAGCCTGGCCAACATGGTGAAACCGTGTCTCTACTAAAAATAACAAAAATTAGCCAGGCATGATGGCTCATGCCTATAGTCCCAACTACTTGGGAGGCTGAGGCAGGAGAATCACTGGAACCTAGGAGGTGGAGGTTGCAGTGAGATGAGATCTCGCCACTGCACACCAGTCTTGGCAACAGTGACTCTGTCTCAAAAAAAGAAAAAAAAAAAAAAAAAGAGGGAGGACTAACTAGGGAGACTCATGTAAGACTGAATTGTGAAGCAGTATCTGGCAGCATAGGACCAAGCACTCAGTGGAGAAGTTAAGGGAATAAATCAAAGAAGTCGGAGAATGGAGATCACTGGGGTTCTGAGGGTTCCTGAAGGATTCTTGGGGGAAGAGGGTCTTCATAGGGAAACCTTCTACCTGGACAACTTCCTGCATAACCTGCTCCCCTAAACCCTAGCTGCTCTCCCCACTGACAGCTTCCTCCTGCATCCCTGGGTTCTGGCACTGAGTTCTCTCCTCCCTTGATTTCATGCCTTCTCCTCCCTTTGAGATTAGAAACCCAGACTCTAGGAATCTCCACTGATTTGGCAGTCCAGTGACAGTACATGGGCAGGCCACAGGAGGTTACTTCATTCATCCCCACCTCTCCCCATCATTTCTTACAGGGAAATCCAGGGAGGCCCAGCCTACCCCACCACCTCCTCTGGCTTAGACAAACCTGTTGCTGACCTGTCAGGTTCTACCTAGCCCTGCAACCTCACACTTTAGAAGGCATTGTTTATTCTCTTATTTTCATGTGCTCATTCCTCGGACAACTATTTGGGTTTGGGAGAAAGATACTTAACAACTTTCCATCCTACCTCTTTAAGAAAGGGACTGTGTGCCAAAGACCTTCCCACATGTATGAAGAAGGGGCTCTTGGGAGAAAGTGAATTCCCACAGGATTCCTTTGAATCCTTTTGCAGGTATTTCCTTCCCCTGTCCTCAGCAAGCATTGATGAGCCCCAGTCCTGTAGAGGTTGAATCAACTCCTTGAGTCTAGGAAAAGATGGCTCCTGAGGCCAGAGGTTGGGCAGTGTACCTACAGCACCATTTCTTGAGAGCTTGTTGGGATATCACATACTCGGAGTGCAAGGTCTTGTGGCTGAATCTATTCAGTCCAGTGTTACATTGCCAGCTCCCCTGTCATTACCACCCCCTCTGCACGTGCTCCATAGGCAGGAGCTGTTACTATGGAAATATATTATTTTTAAAAACAGACACACAGCCTGGGCTTGGGAATCTCCAGAACAAATCTACACGGGCAAGTAGGTTAATGGGGCTGTTTCTGGGTCCAAGCTCCAAGAGGAAGGAGGGTGATGATGGTGGGGGGAATTCAAAATTCGGCGTTCTACTCTCAACCTCTCCCAGCTTCAAGTTCTGCTTTCTCTCTGTTGACATCAGCGGAACCTCTGCCAGACACTTCTATCTGGGAGGGATGTTCTGCACCTTCTTACCCTGGGCCTCGCTTCCCCCAGGAAATGGGAAGCTAGAAGTCGCTGAGTCTGGGGGTGTTGGGAGAAGGGGGCGGTGATTTCCACAGGGGTCACCTCCTTCTTAACCTCACAGGCGTCCGACCTGTGGAAATCTAACAAGCACAGGGGAAAGCAAAGGCAGGATCTTAGGTAAGTGAAGTTACTCTTGCCTTGAGCTGAGTGTGGGAGCACCGCGATAGCAAGATGGGGCGAGGTGATCAAAGATCCCGCCTATTTTCAACCCCGGAACCTCCTCCGCTGG